AATTAAATCCTCCGATTATATAAAAAGAAAAGCTAGTAAAAAGAAAAAGAAACTTACAAATTGTCATAATTATGTTATAATGGAAAAGCATATGCAGAGCAAACAAATTTAATGAACTATTTTGGTGGTATTAAACGACTGTAATAATATGCGCGGCTGCGTTTGGGTAACTTTACCAAGTGATTTTTGATCATAGTCAAAAGTTTAGTTGAAGGTGTTATTATTTTTATTTAATTATTCTTTAATTTTTTATTTATACTTGTAAATATATTTTACTTTCAGTCCACAGATTAACATGTTTCTTGTTTTAATTATGAAAAATATACTAAGAAGACAATGAGTTTTGCAGTAACAATAATTTAGAAGTGTAAAGAGAAGTGTATAATATACATTTCATTTTTCCGGAAACTGCTGAAAACTATCGATAAGTACAAGTTGAAATAAAGAATTGCAAAGCAACAAAACTTATGACTATGTAAACAATTCTTTATTCAATCTTATGTATCTGAAGTTCTTGTAAAAACAAATATATTGAGAAACGAAACCCGATACGGATGTTCAGAATACCAAATGAAAGGCATCTTTAGAGGACCAGTATACAACGGTCTCTTTTGTTTTGTTTTGTGTGTAGTGAAATTAAATCGCAAAATTGCCAAACAACTAAATAACTATTAAAAAATAATTCCCCTTTTCCTTAAATAGGTTCTAAACGGTTTTGACTTATTGAGCTGGATGAACTACTATGGATGAGCTACTCATACTCGTATAATTATAAGCATTGCACGTTAAAGAGGTCAAACGTTTTTAATTGCTTAAATTGCCACCTTCGTAGAAGGAACTTATTACAGGATAACACAATTTGACCCTGATTTAATAAAAATACATTTACGAAAACGCGGGATAACGGAATATAAATATATTCGTTACGGCATTCCATAATGTACAAGTGACATGATAAATGTCAATCTCTAAAGTTACTTTTGTTTGTATAGTTTGCTGGTTGAAGCATTTACACCATAGACTAATAGCGGTGTGTTTTTTTATTAGAAATATATATATTTTTACTCTGAAAACCAGTTTTTTGGTAAGTGGAAAGTGAAAAAATAATTGAAGATTCGTTTCAAATGACGCATTATTTATTACTCGCTTTGCCGAAGACGACGGTTAAATTCGCGCGGTTCTTCGTACTACCCTATTCGCTATGCCACAGGAGCGTATATTTTTCCAGGGTCGAAATTGGATTATGTCACTCTCACTTGATCAACCACAACTATATGAAAAACCCCTGCCGTTATCATGTGAAGGAGGGATATTCCACATTTATTAGATTGATAACGTGATTACGATTGATAAAAAATGCAGTCTGATATATGAAAAAATAATAAAACTTTTCTATATAAGATACTATATATCTTATTTAGAAAAGGTTTATTAATTTATAGAAAAGGATTTTTACTTTGTCCATCGTAGTCATTGGCAGATGAAGAAGAAAGCAGTAGCTCAGCATTTTTATTATTTACTATAAGTTTTCATAAAAAATATATGAAAAAATAATAATATTATCAAATGGAATTTTCTTTTTTTGCCATAGTAGTTCTTTAAATTAAAAAGAGTACAGTAGCTAAGTACTTCTATACTTCACCATGAGTTACAGACTAAACCCAAGTACTTAGAACTTATCGGTCCTTTGTTTCGTTTTTCTCCGAAGGAAGTTACGATTAAAATAATATAATTAAATAATTCGTTTTCAAAGTAATATTTTATGAAAATTGTTGCTAGAAGTAATTCTATTGGATATTTTTATAAAATATTTGTTTAAATATTTGTGTAAAATACCAATATTACAGAAATGGGCTTCTCAAGTGCAATGAATGAGGGCTGTCGCTTCGATCGTCAATAGTCTCTCACAAATACCCGGGATGAGGATCAAGGAGTGAAAGCGACAGGCTAAACGGGTTATATCGTTAGCGATACGAGAATTATCGTGAAACGTGTAGTGGAGAATATTGAAGATATCAAACATATACTCCAGTTAAATTGGAATGTACCACTGGAACTTTTTTTGTTGATAAGGTTAAACTTTCAATACTTTATTAGAAATGAAATTATTAGACCTGATCTCTAATTATACCGGAAGTGTTACTAGAAAAACTAGCGGTTAGCGGTCAAACTGTAAAGAGATCCCCAGCAAAACATTTAAGTAAAGTTTAAATTACTAAGATGCTTAACTTAAACTAATTTATCATACGGTTTATCTTATACTGCCTTCAATTCGTTTAAAAGTATCATTTTTCTGTTGTCAACCCTAGCCCCTGTCCAAAGAGCATTGTGAGTCGAAGTGAAATAAAACACTTCTGCAAGATAAAGTCAGTTCTCTGGTCCAATAAATATCATCTCATTAATATGCGTCAGATTTTTAACTTATTTCCCGATTTCTTAGTTTTAACTCATGACCTTTAATCAGCGCTGTGATCACGGTTGGAGGCCATAGCAAAGGCTGAGTGAGCTGCGCCTTTTAGTCGCATAATTAAATAATTTTATTGTTTCGTAATTGTTGGTTTTATTCTTTAGTTTAGTGAATTGTTCTTTTTTTTCTCTTAAATGTTATATTTCTAAAAAAAAAAATTGTGCTTGTGGCTTAAACGTATTTTCTTTTTTTCTTTAATCCTACCACTTACGTCCTCTATATGCAATGGTCTTCTATATATTATACTTCCATAGCTTCCTTCTCGACCGGAGTTACCACAGCCTTACAGAAAACGGGTGTTAAACAAGTTTTTAGTTGCATTTCACCAAGTGAGCTCCCTCATTTGACGGATTTATTCTAATAGTCTCACTGCAGTAATTAGCGGATCTCTAGCTATCAATCATCACGCGCTCCATGACCATTCGTATATGTAACAGTCCGTGTAGTTTTAGTGGGTTTCATTCCAACACAGCCCACCGCAAACCTCGGTGGGATGACGGTCTGAGGGGTACATAAAAATGACTAATCTCCTCTCTCTTCCAATTCTGGCAACTCACTTGTAACTCTTGAGATCCAGTTGTCCTTTAAAACTTACTGACCCAGATGCTTGTTTAACCTCAATACTATACTATAATACAAATAAAACTCAAGTCAAAAAAATAAGTTGAAGGGGTGGAAGTACAAATATATAACTACTACGAGATATTAAAGTTTAAAAATATATTTATTAATAGTTAGTCTCGCATTTTAATAAAATATATTATCAACAGAGTTAAAATTAAAACTTAAATTACTTCTTGAGAGATTGCAATGGCGTTTGTAATTAAAGACGCTATCCACGAAATGCCCAATTGTGTTAAAGATACTTCGTTGCTCTTTTTTATTTTGGCACAATGACTTGTGAAACATTTCTCGCAGTAAACTGACTACGAGAAAGATATAATTTTGACTTGAATTTTAGATCGTCGTTAAATAACAACATTCTCTGTAAACAGAAAAGGTTTATAAACTTTTTTGTAACATTAACTTATCTTGACTTGTCAGTTAGAAAAGTATTAAATCGATATCATCAATGTTATGATACTTATCGTATTCTTAGTTAAATTTACATTATGTTATGTAGACAATAGCGTACACTAAATTTGAAATTTATGGCATACATTAAATTTGAAATTAACTTATCATTTTTCATAAGCACATGAATCCTACAATTCCCCGCGCTAACAAAAGTCGTTGCTTGTACGTTATACTATAATATTACGTCTTAACAGTCACGTGCGAAGTAAATAAGAATCAAGATAATATTTAAAGCACAATTGCACATGACACTTTTCAAGCATCTCAAAGTTTTGGTCGCCATTGAAAAGTCTCTTGAGGTAATTAAAGTTGTAATTTTAACTAAAAGCGAGGCTAACCATTAATAAACTGAGTTTTAAGTTTCGACGTACATTTTATTCTTATGTCACTTACATAAGAATAAAATGTAAACGAAGATCTTCTTAACAGATAGTTTACATGCTTTACGTTTGAGAACAATCTTTAGATGCCAGTACTTTTCGCAATGGTGGGAAGCCGCTATTACTGTTGTGTAGACAGACAGTTCCTTTAATAACAGCTTGTATTATTAACTCTCTGCGACTGACATGTCCTATTTTTCAAAATGTATTAGTACACGAGACACCATTTAAGAAGAGGGTATTTCCAAATTTTATCTTAGATTTATATTTCGAATTATTATTTTATTAAAGTTTTTAGTGTGTATCAGTATTATATATTATAAACATATAGAATTAAAAATACATTATGAAGTTAAAGAACATTTATTAAGATAACGTAAATTAGTCTACTAACTTGATGCATAGAAAAAAAATCTAAAAAAAAAACATTTATGTTTTTGCACTAATGTTATACCTTTATTAAAGTAAACACTTACGCTAATTAGAATTACAAAAATGGTATCTATTCATCGGTTTGGTTAACGGTAACATCATTATCAAAATCACAACTTTTTTAGCAGGCTTCATACAGTGGCTTAGAACATTGTAGGCAAAATGATTTCAAACAATCACAGCAACAATATCTGTGAACTATTTTTATGTTTGTTTTACAAATATAGTACGGTTTTCTTCCACTTTTACCATAGAATCTATTTTTACCCTTACAATATTCAGATTCAGACAGATAGAGACCCTGAGGCAGAAGTCCCAGAAGATGGTCAGACCAGATCGCTGAACAGCTGGATCCCAATAAGAATAGTATTCCACTAAGCAACTGATCACAACCGATGGAAACAGATGGTTGACAGGATGAAAGGGAGTCACGATCCTAAGCAGTGAGGGATCGTTCCCTCACTGCTTAGGATCGTGACTCCCTATCCCTACGGAGAAGAGTATTCAGATTATCGTTAGAGGTTTCTTGATGCTCTCTAAAATCCTGAATGATTGTATGACAAGCTGTAAGCAAGCTAGAAAGGCCAACTTTCTAGCTTGTCTTCGTTGGACGTCTCGTTAGCATCGAATCATTCGTTTTCGGACTAAAAATTTAGGTCCTCGCCTTCATCGTCAAAATCACTGAGCTCGTGTTTGGTTTCATTCTTTAACCTATGTTCTGTAATTTGGTCCTGACTTTTGAATGTGCCAAATGACGTCTTTTTCAACGCACAGGATTCTCTGTTGTTGCTTGAGTGTAATATCTAAAAAAAAACAAAACAAATTGAGCTAATAAAACAATTTTACTGACATGTTGCTTAGGAGATACCATGAAAATATAACTGTTACACTGAGGTGGTAGTTTATCAGATACTTACCTTAACACTGACGTGGTTGACTCGTAGACACTTTATTTCGCATAAAATCTGGTGCGCACGCCACGATCGTCCGTTGCACACTAACGGTCACTTAACGGCGAGACAGAAAGAGACAGAAACGACGCAAAACAGATTATTTAATTTTGTGGTGTTTCTACTACTACGTCAGTCGCAGAGGGTTAAGGAATATCAAGAGCCATTCTTTGTTTAAATGTCATAAAAGTTAAATCTTGGTTATAAAAGTAATATTATTTTAGTGGTATTACACAACCCTATTCACAAGTTTCATATTGATAGCAAAATTTGTTCCAACTGAATACACATAACAGTTAGACCCTCGTAACACGAATACAAGTCTATCTATGCGTGATACAGCAGCGAGCAGCTTATTTATTACTTGTTGGTTTGCTTAGATCTTCGATAAAAGGATTGATTGTGTGCTGTGTATGAATAGTGTCATTGTTGTTTGGGGGTCATTTGTTTTTATTACCTTTTTTGTATTTCTGTTTACATAAGTGTGTCATACATATTTCTTTAATGATTGTGGTGTGTATTAAGTACGTAGGTACACATGTATCCACGTTGTTAGTACATATTGATTTTAAATTACTTATTTAATAGTTATTATTAAAGCAAATATAATGAACGCAGATTCATTAGTTAATACTGACTTTGTTGTTATCTTTGTATTACATAAAGCTCAATATTCAACTGATAACAAGAAATAGTCGAATTCAATATGTTGATAAATGTATTTTAACTCAAAAGTAGAGAAATCTCACTGAAATCAGGCTCATAAGACAAACAAATAAAATACTAAACAAATAATAATAATAAAATTGTATTTTCATCGTTTAAAATCAATGCTCCCGATGAGCCCTACAAAATTTTTCTGTATAACTTTATTTGACTTAAATCGGGTAAATTTTCATTCTCAGCGTCCCTCTAAAAATGTATTTATTATACCAGGCTAGAAATCTAACCTAATTAAAAATAAATTTGTTATATAGTAAGAATACATTTTAATGGACTTACCTGAGTTTAATAAATATATTTGATTAGGAGTATACGTTCGAGTCTTAATGGATTAAAACGCCGGAGATTTCAGAAATAAATATATTTACTCTCAATAATGATTAAAAACAGCCCCTTTTACTTTTTTAAAGGATCTCCTTTTTTGGAGTATACAAAATAGTATTATAACAAAATTACCATATTAAAGCAATCTTACGACAAATACTTCAGAACGCTGAATGTGTTTTAGAAAGTAAAACCAACATAAAGTCACTTCTTAAATAATTATTACGATAATAATCCTTTGAACAAGTGCAATGTGTAAATGCAAAGTAGGGATGTTAACTTGTAAACGTTGATCACTTAGTCGCGTATAATGTCAGGTTTTGGCTTTAGACTTGGAATATATGCTTCCAGTTCTATTTTTAGTCTGGCCTGTCTTGTCTGTTGGTCTAGTGGTTAGTGACCCTGACTGCTAATCCAGGGGTTGTGGGTTCGATTCCAACCCAGGACAACTAATTGTATGAGATGAGCACGATCATTAGTTCTGTGTCTGAGTGGAATTTATCAATAATATGTACAGGCGCAGTCGCAGTCTGAAATTTTGGAGGAGGTCATTAAAAAAAATATGTCGAGTAAATTAGAGTTTATTGCACATAAACTGTGGGGTTGCACATAATCTCTGGAAAAAGGGATACAGTACCATAATAAAATAAGCTTCACCTACCCTAACTCCGTGGTTCTGAAACCACGGAGTTAGAGTAGGTAAAGGAAGATAATACTGTTTAACTGAAATATGATGATGATTGTAATTGTACAAAAATATAAAATCTAAGCAAGGCAGGTAAAGCTCTAACAAACATTAATGACCTTTTCTGGTGCTTTGTTTTTTTTACCCTACCTTTCACCTAAGGTAGGTAGGAGTAATCCTTTGGAATATCAATTTTAGTATGAGAACTATTAAGTAGTATGTTAAATTTTTAAGAACATTTTCCAATTTGACGTGTCTTGGGGGATGCCCCCTGTGTACCCCCCCCCCCTTTTTTTTTTTTTTTTTTTTTCCGTGCCGAAATCCCCTCGGATACCACCTGTCGGTGGCATGTCGGACTCGAACCGACTAAAACCGCACGCCGTCTCGGGTACTAATAGCCGAGGAACCAGGTATACCCTAGAAAGGAAGTCCCTGGTACCCCGACATACCTCGGGTCATCTACAGACGAGTAGACGACCCCCCCCCCCCCCTGAGGTCCGCGCCTGAATATGTATGTATTTAGAAATATATAAGTGTGTTTATCAGCAATCTCGTTACAATAGCACAGGCTCCTCCTAGTTTGGAATCAGACTGCCGTGTGTGAGATGTGTGAAGTTATTATTACTTTGCTATAAAAGTAAGAATCTTTAGATGGGCAAGATCTTTCCTCTCGCTTTCCATTAATCTGATGGTGTTCTGCCTTCGTGAAAAGTTTGTAACATGAACAGGAAGTCGGGGAAGTGTGGGCTATTTGATTTGTCGAGTGAACGTGAGCAGCGCTAGATGCCAGATGTTACACATCTTAAAACCACCTAATTAATCGATGTCATAACAGTTTGTCTCTAATAGTAAAAAAATATTACAACACGTATTATTATGGATAACTAATAAATACATTTCATGTTTAGAGTAGCGGTGTACATAAAAAATCATTTTTTGAAACCTAAAAATGCAGTATAATTACACGCTTTATATTAGCTTCACTTGTATGTTTGTAACCGACTCATTTGGGCGTGATTTTGACAGACTTTAAACGGTCAGAATTTGTTCAAACTTTGTAGATATATCGAGGACCGATGACAATACACTAATTTAAAAAAATATATAGTTTTAAAAAACTAAAAACACGCTTTCTATAGAAAACCAAACTAAAAAATGGACAATAAATTTAAAAAAAAGCGTGGGGTGCTTTTTACTATTGACAACAGTCACCCAACGCTGTTTTAAAATTTTATTTTTTTTATGAACACAAGTATCATCATACAAGTATCGTCATACAAATATCGATTAAGTTGCGATCGTAACAAAAATGCATACCTACATATTTCACATCACATCACATCAACAGCCTTTAATGGTCTAGTTTTGACCTTCTATACCACGCTGGCCAGACGGGTTAGTATTGGGTTCGAGTAAAATTTTCCTTCTCTTTGCAGTGCTGTTGTCCTGCGTAGGTGCTGGTCGTCGTGCGTGGTTCGTTACCACACGGATAATACCTACACTATTAAGATCACAACAATGAATATTTTGTAAATTACAATAAAATTATTATTTTTATTACAACAGCAGCTGCTGCTGCTACTACTAGTATACTGATTATATATAAGAACATATATCATACACAGGTACTCTAATATGTAAAAATCACTCGAATTGCAGTAAATTTTTGAATAGAGCAATAATATATGTATACTGATAAAATAATTTTGTTCTTCATATATAAAACCCCGCTATTTGACTTGTCGCTTTGATTGATAATAAAATATTTTTTGCCAACTAAATACATTTTATAAAACATAACTTTTTCATAATGTTATTTAACTGTCAATCTGTTAAAGGTTAAGTAACCAAAGTGACGAAATTTAATGGAAATATTATGTCATTAATATTTTGCTAAGGTACTCCATTTTCTTACTTAAATGAAACTTTCATGAAAAATAAAAATAAATATTGATAAACAAGACCCAACAGGATTTTCGAGATTATGGACTAGCCTCGACATTTATTAGTAAATTAAATTTTAAAATTTCTAAAATTCTACAAATAAAATTACATCCAAAGCGGCACTTAGTATAATAAATTTGAAAATAGAATAAAATATTCTATTTTCAAATTTGAAATTATATAGTTTAAAGTTGTAACTGCTACAACTTTAAACAAAACACCTAATCCTTATAATTTTAAACTGAAATTAAATTTTTAATTTACTGTATTTATTAAGAACTGATTTACGAAATAAAAAATTCAAGAATAAAACTAATAATGCAAATAAATAAATATCAGTTAAAATAGTAAAAATTAAGAGGTATATTAAAAAAATTATAACCCCTTTTAGACGTAAAGCAAATAACAGGTTTTATATAAAGCATATAATAGGGGCTATTAGACGTTAAGAAAATGCTTGGTCTGGTATGTCCTTTCGGATTGTATTAATAAGCAAATAGGATGTCCAAGTGCCATTGTGGATTACGGCGTATAATCATAAAGTTTACATCAACTCTTTGGACAATGCCAATACAAAATCACAATAGAATTGTGAACATATCCACAAGAAAATCAACTAATATAAAGACGAGGCATTAGCTTTCGCTCTAACAATAAAAAATTTCATAGTCGTATTATCTCCGAACATTAATCGCTGTATAGAATCCATACAAATGTTAAGTGGTTACTATGGCAGCAACTTGTTGACAGGTAAAATGTTGCTTTCTCATTAATGAGCAGCTTTCCATGATGGGATGTTAATGAGCTATTATAATACATAATATGGTTATAAATTGACGAGACACGTGTAGTACGAGAGGCTACGAGACGGCTTACTTATAAAGTCTCCATTATTCATGTCCCGAGAATGCCAAGTCACTTGGCGGCCATTAAAATTTTCTCCGTGATGTTCACCGTTGCTTGCTAAAGTTAGGTGTTATGTGAAAAACTTCAGCAATGTTCCCTTTTGTAAGCGTTCTCTCAAAGTTGACATTATAATATAATAGTGTTCTATGCGCTTGCCAAAATGAGATAATCGAAATTTAAATTTCCGAAATAGCAATTTATTCTTGAATTGATTCTTTCCTTAAATGTTAAGATTAAAAAGTAGTCTCATCACCTCAGCCTATGCTTGACATAGGCCTCTCCCAATAATTTCTTGCATGATTTCTTTGCATTGAAGTCTCCCATAAAAACGGTGTAGTGTGTAATAGTGCTATGTATGGCCCGACTGATGTCCTCATACATAGCTTCCACTTCATCATCTGGGTGTGTCGAGGTCGGTGCGTAAACCTGTATAACCTTCAACGAATATCTCTTAGATATTCTGAGTATAAGGTACGCTACCGTGCTTGACACTATTGATGGACATCACGTTGCTAATAAGAGACTTGTGGACGATAAACCCGACACCACGTTGGGACTGTTGTTCGCCCTCCCGGTAGTAGAGCAAATTGCCGGAATTCAGGGTAATCGTGTCCCCACCCTCCCTTTGGACTTCTGCTAAACCCACTATATCTCAGCGCAATTTGCTCAACTCTTCTTCCAGCTCTACTATCTTCTCGTCTGTCCTCAAAGTGCGTATGTTGTGTGTTACCAGGGCCAGTTGTCGTTGGGGTTGGTAGCTGGATCCCATCCGGGGATTCTTCGTACCCTCTGCCCCGCCGCTGCCATGGCCGCTACCATAGCCAGGATGGGCTGCCGGGTACTGGGGGCCTTGTCCTGTGCTATCTAATTATCATTAAAGAGGTTTTGCCGTACTTGCCACGCTTGGCAGATGGGTTGGCGAGCGCAGTGTGTGCCATGTGGTATTCTGAAACGCTGCTGCCCGTTCCCTGGCTTTATCCCTTAGTCGGCTCTTACGACACCCACGGGAAGAAATGGGGTGGTACTATTCTATGCCGGCACCACACGGTCAAAAGTAGTCTATTACATTCAAAATTAAAGTTATGTTTATTTAAATAAACTCCTTAAAACACTTCATATCTAATTTACCAATCTTTATTAAATAAATTTTAAAGTTATCTACTTATATGAAATCAATTAATAACATTGTAACTGAGTAAAATAATTCTAAATGTCTCGGAATCAAATCAGAATATAAAACAAAATCACAATACAAGTCATGAACGAGAATCACGACAAACATCAACTGTATTTTATGACTTTTCAAGATTTGTACGTGCATGTATTATTTATTAAGTTTTACAACAGTTTACATACCGAGTGTCTGGTGTGTTTACCTTTGCAGAATAGAAATAAGTACTTGTTCTTCAAAGTATCAGTAAGCTATTCGTTCACTACACTAAATTTGTTGTTGTAAACTGGCTCAACAAGTTAAACATAATTGCGTTATAAGCTCTGTAATAATAAGTTTGTTTTGTAACATTTTTCTTGTACTTATTTATAGCTTGTTTACAGGACATAAAAGAAATTTATAAAAGCTTAGAATATAATTAAGATATTT